GAAAGAGTGACAGCCAACCTTACTGCATATACTCTGCCTTCCTAAAATACCTTACTAAGAAAAAAACCCCAGTGTTCAGGAGCCATTAGACCAAAGCTTCTGAAATAGAAGAATAATGCATTTGGGCAGAACAAAAGCCTTGTTATTTTGCTGTCTCTGACAAACAGCAGTTGGCAGGTATTGAACTTACCATGCAAATTAACTTCTCTGTTTGTTTGGTTTGTTTTTTTTTCCCTGTGTATATTTGTCTGAAAGTGTATTTGTAAATAAAACAGTTTATTGAAACTGTTGAAAGAATATATATTTTTTTAAGATCATGGAAAATATTATTTTTAACTATATTTACAAAGACATGATTCTGCTTTTTCTTGTAACCTTTAGATTTTTCATCAAAGAACTTCAAATACCTGAAAGACATACTTCAGTTTTTCAAAGAGCCAGGTTCATCCAGACAATAAAACTAAGAAACACTTAAATAACCTTCAGGAGTCACCACAGAGGTAATTCTGAATTTAAGCTTTAGAGTTCCCTTATTCTGCTGAAAGGCTGGATTACTGAGGGAGAGAAGGGGAGCAGTCAGTTTGCCAATCAGCCTTAACACTTATTAATTTTCTACCTTTCTACCTACAATAAAGACAATCACAGTCACAATCCTAGAGGACAAAATCCCATTATCTTAGACCCATAAGGTTTCCCGCTACGGGTCTGAATTCATTCAGGCAAGATTTTACTGACTTGTAGTAGACTGTGCTACTTTGACTCAATGCAATTCATAACTCGTTCACATAGAAGCACCTACAAAATAGTCATATCTTCCTCAGTTGGACAAACCTACCCTTGGCAAAACTCAGTGTGATGAACTAATAGTCCTATGGGTCTGATGCTTCTTCCCTCTCCTACAGCAGGATTCTTATTGCTCCTTCCTTCCTGATCTAGAGATTTTTGTTTAATTGCAAAGCCTAACTACATGCATTTACACAGTATTAATTTTGTTCAGCTAAGTAGCCTGCTCACCTTTCTATGAGTTCCCATAAGTTTGGTAGCAGCATATGGATGCAAAAGTCTCAAGAAGTCAGGGAGGGCAGGTTGGGTGAGGTTTCCAAAGATACCAAAGAAATTCAGCTGCTGAAATGTAACTAGGAAGAACAATGTGGTTACAGGATGCAGACTACTCTGAAAACCTTCTCTTTGGTTCAGACAGTAATGCTCTCTCAGGTTCTCAGCATTTTATAGCCTCTTTTTCTTGCTTAGTATGTAGCCTTAATAATCTTTATTCCCTTAAGGATCAATCTAAAACTTACTTGATCCACAATGCATCAGAACTTACACTTATGGTAAAACATTAGTTTTCACACCTAGTATCTTGTGGGTGATATTTTAGTTGCAGAGACTTAAAATTATTTTAACACAATTCATTATTTTTTTTATTTTCCTTCAGTTTTAAACTGAAGGCAAATTGGTTCACAGGTTGTATTTGATGTTATTGTTCATCTTAAAGACTTCAAATCATTACAGAAAAAAAAAAAAAAAGAGAGAGAGAAGATTTTGGTGGTTTAGTTGTGTTGGGTGGGAGTTTTTTGTCTGCTTATTACAGCTTTTTGCTTGCTGGGCTCAAGGTTTGAAGGTAAAATTTACAAAGACAATACTTTTTGACAGTGAACCTTCTGCTACATTTTTAGAAGCACTCAGCAAATTCCAGCAGCAGGTTTCTAGACACAAAAGACAAATACAACCACTCCGTGATTTAGGTTGGCTTTCTGTTTGTGGGTCATGAGACTCACTGCTGAGCATGTCAGAAGTTGGCTGTTGCATTTAATGAAGGTTGTCAGCAACTTCATAGTTCCCATAGCAAAAGAAAGAGTGTGCTCTGGCTTTGGTTTTGGGGTATTGGATGGGTTTTTTCCCCCCCCTTCCTTCTTTTGGGGCTTTGATTGGAATCTGGGACTGCAGTTAATAAATTCAGTTACTGCAAAAGAATCAAATTAAAAGTATGGAACAAGCTGGTGCTTTGAAAAATATTGAATTGCATAGGTTTCCTTTTTTCAGAGACATCATTTAACATTCAAAATAAATATTAAATTTCCCTTCAGTTTGAAAGTTTAGAGTCACTCATGAAACTAGGAACAATAATCATACTATATTATGCCCTGTCTCATGTATGTCTCAAGAGGACTGTGACTTGTCGTAGCATGAAGGAACCTGAAAAAATGATTACTTGCTGCTTTAAACAGAAGATGCATAGCTCAGATGCTCATTAATGAAGCAAAGGAAAATTAATTGACATGTCTAATAGTTCTTCTAATAGAGCCTCTAAGCCTTGATGTGTCAATTGTCAAATTACCACTGGCATTCTTTTTTTGTCTCAGTGATCTTGTGTCGCACTGCTAGGAGAGAAAATTAACCCCACTTTCCTTGGCCTCTCTCAGCGTACTTTCTGGACAAAGGTGCTAGACACACAGAAAAATGAGATGCATGCAGCCCAACTGCCTTAACCTCTCTCCAGATCAGGCTTAACCTCCCAGATTGCAGAACTCCAGCTTTGTGACTGGCCTGTGCCAATGATGCATCTTTCCTGGGGCACGCAGTGGTAAAACAAACTAGCTCTAAAGAGCCTAAATGTATCAGCCTTTCTACACATCCTTACCCCTCTTGTGCACTCCTTTGAACTTAAGTTAGAGTTTCTTTCAGCAAGCCAGGATCCTCTCTGCCTTTACTCCCCCAGCAATGGTCTGTCTTCTGAAAGCGCCAGCCTCTTTCACCCTACCACAGGCTTCTTTGCTTGCTCCAACATAGGTAGTGAAAGAGCATTCTTCTTAGAGCTTCCATTCTTTTCACATTGCTATCACCCAATCCAGGCTGCAAAAAAAGCTGTTTCCAATCATTTGCCTGTTAGTCAACTCTCTGCCTGACAGCAAATCCTTTGATCGAGACTGTTATTATGTGTATATTAGGGTCATCTGAGTTTATGTAATGGAACTTTACAATCATCTCTGCTATTTCATCAGTTGGTATTTCTATCCTACCTAAAGTTAGGAGGAGAAGGAAACACAGAAAAGGCATATAGGTCATATATTGCATCTGCTGTTTGTAGAGTGGCACAAAGGTCCATGGGATTTCCAACATTAAACAGCATTTGAGAACCTCACACTGGCAGATTCTTTAAGCCCTAATTCCAGAAACTGAAGAAATCCTGATTTCAATATGATTTGTTTGGGGCTAGTTTTTCATACTTAGATTAAGTGATACAATTTGGAAATTAGCTCCCTAGAAGATCATAGGAACAAATCACCTAAGAGCCATACTGGAAATTACAGCTCTTTGTTAAGAATGAAAATCACTGCATAGCAGTATATCAGATCTCTATGATTTTGAAAAAAGAAAAAATCATTAAGATATTTTTCATTCTATATTAAATTAGCTATTCTGCTTAGGATATTCATATCTTTAGCCTTTCTCGTAAGAAACAGATTTCCATGTTCTGCAGAGCATTAACAAGCTCAATCCAATAGTCAGGAAAGTACTACAGGAGTCCTGCCCCATAGAGCTGCATGTATGCAGTAAGTCCAAGGCATCTAGAGAGCACCAGATTTCTTGCATATTTGAAGGCTGTTAGTCCACACACAATAGATTTAACATGTCTCAGACACAGAGGAGTCCCTTCTCCTGTGCTGTAGAGCAAGACAGTACAGTCGAATAGATGCATCTGAAGCTGCCACATGGGCTGTCAGAGATCCAGACATCTTGAACAAATGTCAAAAGTCTTCAGCTTGCACCCAGGCCCAAAAGAAAGAACCTGGGAAAAGCCAGGTTCTATGAAGCTGGGTGAGAAATGAACATAAAATTCAGTAACATTTCTCTGAATGTCTTTCTATTATGTGATAATTTTTGAATAATCCAACCGATCAGCACTAAAAATTCAGGGAATACCATATCTATGATTGTATTGATTTTTGACAGAAAGTGGAACAAGAAAGCAGGGAAAATATAGGAGAATGGGTAGAAATGGCAGAGAGGGAATTTTTGAGCAAGAATAAAGGCATATAAAAACCATCCACATGTTGCCAAACAAATATGAAGGTCTGTATCTAAAACATTTTTCCGTAATACACATCATAGTAAGAATGCAATAGCTATTCTGAGGTATAGACAGCAAGAATATTTTCCAAGACAAAACAAGCCAGAATCAGGTTGGGGAACTGTTATTATAGTCCTTCTTTCATTCTGAATCCAATTCTTTTTGCTGAGATAATTACCAATGCAGGCAAAAAAACTCTTCTTTACTTCATGCTGAATGGGACCTCACTTTAACTAATACATGAAGGTCTCCTAGAAGGTTTTAACTGCAGAATAAAGATTTATGAAAAGTAGCTTTCTCTTCATGTTAAGGTTTTCAAAAGGTAACTATGATCTCAAATTGAGATGAAAAAGTTGAAAACAAAAAAGTTCATGTACTGATATTTTTGTTAATGAAAGTACCTGTTTTTATAATTTAAAGTGCTTTGAAATTATTTTGGCCTTTTCAGTACAAAATTAACCCATCTGCATACATTAAAATGTGTGAAAAAAGTAATTTAAAAACAAATATTCTTTTCAAAATATCTAGATGGAATATTTCAAGAGTCTCCAGATTTTCTTCCAATAATCCTTTCCTGAATTGAAACAAGAGCTAACAGCTCTTTTGCACAATTTCTTTATTTGAAAGTCACAGTTTTCCAGTGCAAAGGGGTTTAAAAAAAAAAAAACAAAAAAACAAAACACTGAGTAGAAATACCACACATCCTTGATTCTGATAAGGTCATATACTTCCTTCATTTCAGTGGCTAGCTTGAGACAGACTGTAAAAACTCTAGAAAACACTAGTGTGTCACCCGTTTTGGAACTGTTCTGGCAAATGTTGTGGCAGATCATACAGAGCAGTGAGATTGCTCTCATAGTGAGAAGTGCAAATTGAAATAACATATTCCATTGTGTGATCCAAATGATCTGGGGATTGAACCTACGTTGAAAGATTGTGCTCCAACTCGGCCAGAGGGCTGCCAGAGGCTGTGTGGGAGGAGAGGGACATACTTGGCAAGTCCCTGGGAAAGACAGAGGAGGGGTGAGCTCCACAATGAGCAAATAACCCCCTGGTATGTCACCGAAAGGCAAAACCAAGTTTTCACTACACAGATCAACCAGTTAAAAGGTGATTGTGAATCTGTCTAAAGAGTTAACACTGAAGCACTGAAAACCCTGGTCAGCTGTCTTCAATGGGCTTTGAAAATATTTTTCCCACACATCATCTTGTCCTCCTTATTAGCAAATAAGCTGGGACTCAATTGTAGACAAGGGCTTGGTACAGACTTGAACAATAAACTGGTTAGATTCATTAGGAGCAGAGTTGGATGACACAATGTTGGAAACATATGCAGCCAGCCTATGAGACTAGCTCGGTTATAAAAACATCCACCACTAGTCTATTTAACTTAGAATGCCAAAGGTAGGGAATGCTTGCTGTGAGCTGTAGCTACTTTGGCTCTCTCACTGTAAATAAGAACAAATCAGCACACAATCAGACTTACATTGCTTTTCACACTTCCTTTCTGTAAAGAACATATACTTTCTCTTACAAATAGTGCAACTAAACTTCAGTTTTTCAGCTGACATAACTGCCCTGCTGAAGCCAACAGACTTGAAAGCTAATTCTCACCATCAAAGTATCTGTTTTCATTTTGCTTATTTTCTTAATATGTACTTGATGCTTTTTATTCTACCACTCTTTCTGAAGATTTTATAAGTAATAGTATGTTTTATTTCTAGTGTTGTGTAAGTACTAAAGCAATATATTGCTTTTATCAGAATTACCAATTCTGATAAGTCAATAGTAGGGCAACCAACAATAGGGCTCATCCAAGTACAAGTACAAACATTTATTTTCCACTTTTCATGTGTGCATTCTTATCTCTGAATAAAATTCAGGTCTACCAGGTGAAAAAATACTCTCTGTAGAGACACACAGGGTGAAGGTATGCTCTGAGTCCAAGACTATTACACTATCCAGACCAGCAGACTCAGACACAGCAGGAAAGAAGGCAACACTCAGTAAACCTGGTTCATGTGGAGGCTGCAACTTTATTAAATGTAAACCACATTATGGGCTTATTTAAATTAATGGTCACAGTGGGCGCTCAACACCTCTGAAAGACTCTACACTAGGACTAGCTATAAAATTTTCCATCGAGACTGCTGTGTGAAGGGAAGCTGACACAAGTAGTGCTTGCCAGACAACTGCCTTTCCATGGAAATTTTTCCTTGATAAAATGTTAAGATTTTGGTGCTGAAAAAATAGAACTGTGGTTTTATTTCAGTAGTCCCTCTCATCAGAATCTGTAACCAGCTGTTCATTTGTACCAGCCCATATGCTGCATGAGGCAGTCTTGCCAGACTACCTCATCTGTATATACCAGAGGCAAATGTACCAAAGTGCAAGGGAAAGGCTGAGATACCGCACTGGACACGGGTCATGCACACAGCCTGCCTCAGAAGCCTTGGCTTTAGAGGAATGTGAGGAGAGGAGACCTGAGTGCCACCCCCTACACCCTCCACCCATGTATTCAGATTTCCACCAAAGAAACCCAGGAGAACAGGAAGAGTAGGAGACCACCGCATGTCCCACCTTGCTCAAGAGGATCAGAAGACAGGGACCACAGAGGATGCCACAGGGCCTGCCTATGTCACAGTTGGCATGCAACCAAGTGACAGCTTTTGTGAACTGAGCCATTTAATTCTTCTGGACTGGATGTTTCAGCTTTGTTAAAAAGCTATTGTTTTCTGGAGAGGGGAAAAAAAAATTCCTTTCCATAAATTTCATTAGCAAATTAAGACCGTTAACTTAAGAATGGCTAAGGGAAAGTAGCAAGTGGTTGAACAGCAACTCACCATGGTTATGAACAGTGAAAAATCTCTACAAAATACTCAACTGAAAACCAAAGGAGACTTTTCTGCTTGTAAGTCAAGAGCACTCTATTATAATTGGTTTCTTGCAAGAAATAGAAATATCTTAACTGAGTCAATGACAATTCTGGGAATTATGGTAATACTTAAAATGTCAGTGTTCAATGACTGCTTTCAGCTCATAATGATAATTTCCAGACTTCTAAACATCCAAACCAACAAAGGTACATGGAGATAATGTTTGGAATTGAAATAAAAATTATCCCAAATATAGACCAGGATGATAACTTGTAAAAATAACAGAAATACTGCTGAATCATTTTAATGACAAATAAATAAATAAGTATGGGAAGATCACACAACTGAGGTAATTAGGAATTGAAAATGTTAATTAGAAATTAAAGAAATTAAAATAAATAAAAATCACATAAATTGGCAGATTGCACCAAAAGCAAATATATTTCTACACAAATACTTGTAAATATATCAATCTACATTTATAGTTGCACATTTTGTATAACCCTCAATCTTGTGGGTGTAAAAGGTAAAAACATTACCTTTCAACTCTTGTGAGTTGAAGTATTTTATATTTCTATTTCCACTCATTTATAATGACAAGATAATGATTCATAGAATCACTGATAAAGAACAACTGTGTCCTTTTTTTTTCTTTTTTTTTTACTTCCTAACACTCCTGGAAAGCTTTATAGTAAACAATTTAGGAGATAATGAAAGGTAAAACTTCCATCTGAAAAGGTTTGATTCAACAAAATTATTGGGACAATCACTTAGGTTAAGTGTTTAGCCCAGAGGGCAGTATAAAATTTCATCAAAATTCAAACCATGCATAAATGATCTCAAACTGCAGTGTCTATTTATACCACACAACATGTTAGTCACATTTTTCACTGAAGATTGAAAGTAATGATGAAGCAACAGATAAGGATGAAAGACTGAATATGTGCTATGCCACCCATGTATAATTCAGTTAGTGGTAAACATGGATTAGAAAGTATTCTGCAATAGCATGTGTTTTCCAACTGCCAGAGAAAAACTGTGACCCACTAATAAGGGAAATGGGACAGCAATGAAACCAGAAATATTGCACATACACAAATGAGCCAGGTAAAGGAGAGAGAGTTATTAAATCAGTGCATCAGGGATTCAAAGACAATGAGAAATGAAAATATCTTTTAGGTTTGGTGTTCCTTTAAAAAAAAAAAATCACTGGATTTTTTTAATCCAGAGAACAAAGCAGTGTCAGTGCAAATAGTGTCATTTTTCTAAAGCCTAAATCTTCACATTTTGGTGAATACTATATAAAGAAAACTTCAGTGCAGACTCTCCATTTAATTTTCACACTCCTTCTTTTTCGAGTTTAAACTTTCGATTTGGTTATTTGAGAAAGAAGCTTTGAGTTATGAATTAAGGAAAATGTCTATGATTCTTCATTTTTAGTCCCAAACAAAGGCAGAACCTTTAGTTGATGAGAGCCACTGAAACAGAGTAACAACTACAGCACATAGTGTTATTTATCAGCTGTTTATGGATCACCCCATTGAGTGTATCAGCCATTCTCATATACTTGCTACAGTTTTTGCCTAAACTATTAGAATAAGCTTTGTGCAATGATGCTGACCTTCAGCTGAAGTTCTGTGGTTGCTGAATTGTGAATGTAAATTATTAGTTGGCATTCCTTGTTTTGTTATTCTATAAGCATCTGGGGTGCTGGATGAACTAGTAATATTGCTAATTCATGCTTCAGATAGATTGTAATGTAGCACTGAAACTGCACAGTGGAGATTGAACAGAAACGTAAGCTGGAAGCCGTGTATGGGTCTGTGTGTTTGTTCGACATTCATCTCAGTAGACTCCAAGCAGAGCTAGATGTTAAGGATTTGTAGCTACCTTTTTAGGGAGGATGGGATTAGAGGAAAAACTTCACAGATATCATGAGGAGTTATCTCTAAATAAAAGGCAGAGGTTAAAGCTACAAGTAGAAGTAGTGGCAAGGGGAGACATCATCAGAAGAGATGCTACTGAAAAGTAGAGGGGGACTAAGTGGCAGAGGACCTTACAAATGACTGCAAAAGATTATAGTATGACAGATGCCTCCAATGATAGCTAATTTAAATGCCATTAGGTGCATTATATTTCACATGCAGACAGTCTACAGTGTGATGGAAAACGTTACAGTAGGTTAGCATGAAAGTTTATGCTTCAGTCAGAGTAAATTGTTATCACTTCACTGGAAATGGCACTTTAATGCCTACTTCAGCTGAGGATCTGCCCCTTTGTGTTACTGCAGCATTTGCTGTCTTTAGCAAAATACTCAAAGTAGATGCTAAATCTGATGGAACTTAAACAAGTTTCTGCTGACTCATTGCCCCAAAAGAGAAATTATAATAAAGTTCAAACATTATATAGTATTTGTACTTTATTTTGTCATTCTACACTGCTCAATTTTTTCAAAAAGGGTAATATTAAATAAAACATTTTTCCCAATTAACATTTTTGCTTCTCTTATACTTAGTGTATTGTTGTCATTCTTCCAGTGAAGTCTAGGAAAGTGGCAAAAAGAAGGCCAGAGTTATGTATTTTGAGCTGATTTCCCTGTAATGTTAGTAAACAGTTTGATGCATGATGTCACGACTAGAACTATTCTTTCTTGTCTTCCCCCACTTAATGAAAATCTGTGAAATAAATGCTATAAGGCAGTACTGCTGGCATGACAAATTCCAAGCCAATAAGTCTTGCAGATGCCAAGATGTAAGCTCTGAAACTTGGCATTTGGCATTCAGAACTAGATAACCTTACTATAGTAACTACATTCACTGTATCTACAAGAGGGATGAATAAATCAACAATAATTGAACTACTAAAAGTGTCTAATTTCCAGCGTAGTGCTTCAAGCAACAACTGAAATTAAAAAACTGTTAAAACACAGCCACATACCCATACAATCTTGTCATGAATGCACTGAAGCAAAGGTTAACAAAAACGAATGAATATGCATTCTTTGCTAAAAGTAGCGTTCCTTGATCTACAGTAGTGATGAACTGTATAAATGTCAGGTCCCATCTAAGTCCCACAGAGCTTGGTGCTCCCAGTAGCAAGAATATTTTATTGTTC